GCCCCGCGCCGCCGCCGCCGCCCGCGCCCCCGGCGCCCGGGCCGCCGCCGCCGCCGCCACCCGGGGGGCAGCCGAAGGCCAGCGCCATTTCGCCGAACAGCAGGGAGTTCATCATGCGCCGGCTGCGGGGCTCGGGAACCCCGCGGCGCGGCTCCAGGGCCGGCTCCAGGTGCGGCTCCAGCTCCGCGGCGGGCTCCCGGCGGGGCCGGGCCAGCGGGGACGCCGGGTCCAGGGCCAGGAGGGGCTGCGCGCGGGCGCGGAGAGCCTGCGGGGAGGGCGCTGCGCCGAGATGCTCCGGCTCAGATGCGGTCTAACGAAGACGGAGGCCGGACACCCGGGGGCTGCCGCCGCCGCCGCCGCCGCTGCTGCTACGAGGAGGGGGCTGGGCGCGGAACTGCGGCTTCGGCGGGGGCCACTCCCGCGGCTGTCACCGACACTGTGGAGGCGCCGCCGCGGCCGCACGGGAAGGGGTTTCGCTCGGCCCCGCCCCCTCCCGCATCAAGCCCCGCCCTCTGCAGAACCAGGCCCCGCCTCTCCTTCGCCGGCACCGCCCCGCTCCCGGCCTCCCGCTGCGGTTCTCAGGGACTCTGAGCTCTGCCCGCCCTTTCCAGGCCCTAAGCCGACGCCCTCTCCTGCCCCCGCTGCCAGAAGCCACGCCTATAGTTTAAATAATGCCTTGAAGCCACGCCCATCTGGCGACCCGCAATACATAGCCCCGCCCACTCCCCCTCCCTCCCCGCGGCGGTCCGCAGAGTCGGCCCCGCCCTCCAGCCGGCCTGGCCCCGCCCCCTGCTCGCTCTCCCGGCCAGTCGCCTGCTTCCAGTTTTTCTGCCTGGGGACAGACCGCAAGGCTGCGTCTTGGACCCTGCCAGCCTTGGCGGCCGCAGGGTCGACTCTCTCGGCTCTCTTAAAGGGACCGACCACCTAAAATCACCGGATGATCTACTTAATTCTCCCCAGGGTCCCTGGCTCCCTTGGAAAGCTCTCACTTCCTCTCAGCAAAAGGAAAAAAAAATTCTTGTAGCTGCAGAGGCTACCCAGGAAGTCTCAGCACGTGATTTCATTCATTCACTCAGCAGATATTTATTAAGGGCCCTGCGGCAGGCCCAGGCCTGCCCGGCTTCTGCAATGCTTCTCTAGCCCGGCTGCCTAACGTGAGGGAAGATTCTGCAGAGGCTTGGCCACAGCTTCCCCCACCTCACACCCAGCTGCTCTTCTGGGCCGGGCGCAAGCAGAATTAGGGCATCTGCACTGTCCCCCCCCCCCCCGTTGCACGTGCACACGCATGCACACGCACGCACACATTCCCTCATGGCTTAAAAAGCCCGCTCATCTTGTCCCACCCCGGGCTGCACACATCCCAGACACTCCCTTCCACCTTGTCCAGAGATGCCTGCCCAGGGCAGTGGGTGCCTCTGTTTTCGGCCAGGCAATTGGTGCCTTGCAGAGCCTGGCTTCCAGTGCCCATCTCCGGCGTTGGCATGGGAGCGGGGGCAGAGTGCGGGCCTGGTTTCAGATCCAGGGACTTCAATCAGACATCCTTCCTCCTGGTGTGACACGGCCTGGCAATGTCTGAAATGTGTCTCCGCTCAGGCTGAGGACTTAAATAATCAGCCAGACCTGGCAGAGACACAGGTCCCACGAAGAGAGAGCAAGAGAGAGCGCGGGGCTGCCCTTCCGGCTGTTGCTTAACATTGATTCAATTCGATTCAATACACATACGTCGGATGTCAGAGCTGGAAGGAGGCGTAGAACACAGAATGTAAGGGCTAGAAAAGAACTCAGAACACGATGAGAGATTCCCTTATTGTACAGATGGGGAAACTGAGGTCTATGTGCTCTCTACTACCCCAAACTTCTCTTGATGCAGGGGAGCTCTGAGGGGGTAGGAGAAGAGGTAGAGCTCTTGCTAACTTCCTATCAAATTCCTCACAGAGGCTGTTCTAAGCCTTTTTCACATTCCTCAGGGTCCCAGACCCACCCCCACCTCTCTCACTCCCAACAGATGACTACTCCCTCCCTTTTTCATGGGACCATCTGGCCTGGAGTTCTCTAAGCTTCCCTCCCCTGCTCAAGTCCACCTGTTACCACACCCTCCCCAAGGCCTCAGAATTCCTCTTTCTCTCCTTCTAGATGGCTTCTGCCAACACAATTCAATTCAATTCAACTCACTAAGCAGCACATTCTGAGGATAATGAGAAAATTGGCGTTTGTTGGAAATTAAAGTTCATGCTGGAGAGACCCAGGTAATGAGGTTGGAAAAAGTAGCATAGAGCCATATTGGAATAGAATGCCAGAATGAAGCATTTGCTGAGAAGATTCCATAGAGGACAGAATGTCAGAATTGGGAGGGCCTTTAGAACACAGAATGTCAGAGCTGGAAGGGCCTTAGAACACAGGATATCAGAGCTGGGAGGGCCTTAGAACACAAGATGTCAGAGCTGAGAAGGGCTTAGAACACAAAATGTCAGAGCTGGGAGGGCCTTAGAACACAGGATTTCATAGTTGGGAGGGCCCTTAGAACACAGAATGTCAGAGCTGGGACAGCCCCTAGAACATGGAATATTGGAGCTGGCAGGGCCCTTATAGATCAAGTATGATGCCTTAGTTATACAAAGGAGAAATCATTGTGTGCTTCAAAAGGATTTACAAGTTTATTGAAGAGACAAGATACACACATATGAAAACTCAAAAACTATTCTTAGGCTACCAAGAACATTCAAACATGGTCCTGTGCAGACTGTATCCACCAGAAAGAATTATGTACTGGGACCCAGGAGACCTCGGTCTGACCCAGAGTCCCTACACTACCTAGCTGTGTGCCCCTCTCTGGATGTCTGTCTCCTCATCTGCAAAATGGCAATGATACTGGTTACACCCACTTCTAAAGCCACCCTTCATTTGAACCAACTCACACAAGACTGGCTGCCTCCCCCAGGGCCCTGAGGTTCAGAAAAATTCCTAGTTATTTACTCCCAGGTTCAGCTCAATTCAATTCAATTCAACTCACTAAGTATTAATTAAGGTGTAAGAAAGAGAGCATCAGAACAAGACAGCCCAGAGGCAGTGGGCGATATTTCAAACCCCACACAGGGCTGGAGGTGAAAATTTATCTTCTTAACACCAGGCTGGGGCAGATACTTCATCATTCTCCTGCCTTCTTACCCTCACCCCACCCCCCCACAAAAAAAAAAAAAAGATTGGCAAGAGGATGGCTTCACTGCATTCGGCAAGGAACACATTGTTTGGCCTCGTGCTCTCCAGGCAGCCCCAGGCAAAAAGCCTGTGTGATTACCTTCAGCCAGCTTGCTTAAACAATTATTCTGGGTGGATTGCCATTCCTTGTCATAGGCGTATGTTCCCAGGAATCCTGGGCGGGGGAGTGGCTCAACCTCCCCACAAATCCAGTGTCAAACTACTAAAGGGGGGACTTGGCACCAGGAGATCTGCATTTGATTCCCACCTTGGACGGCAACTAGCTGTGTGACCCACCTAGGCAGGCCACTTCATGCACCCGTCTGAGGCTCCGTAGTAGTTGTGAGGGAGATGTTTCTAAACTTAAATGCTCAAAAACAGGAGGGACCTGTGATTTCATGACCCCTACCCTGGAAGATCTCAATGTAACTGGTCCATAACTTAATATATAATGAAATTGCCGAGACACACAGAGATTACATGGACAGCCAGTGGCAGATTTGAACCCAGATTTTCCTGATGTCCAGCTCACCACTATCCAACACACACTGCTGTCTCCCCAAATACAGGGGGGAGAGGGGACATACCAGTGATTTCATTGGTATAAGGAATTCCCAGTAAGGATGTTTCTTCAACCGATGCAGATCGATAGCTGGTTTCATTTTAGAAGGCCTGGGGCACTCAGGTGATTTGCCTGGTATCACACAGCCAGTATATGTCAGAGGCGAAGCTCAAACCTGACTGACTTCAAGATGGATTTTCTACATCCTATATGATTCTGTCGGGGTGTAGGGTGGTCAGGAAAACTAGTACCTCTGGTGTGAGGGCTACTGAATCCACCTCTGGCATCCACCTTTCACCCAACACTTACCTATGACTCCAAGAAACTAGCATGCCCATCGGCCACACCCCAGTAAACCATTTTGACAGACAGGCTAAACCAGATTGAGGGTAACAGAAGGGTCTCAAACCCTTTGGTGAGTTAGGGGGTTCTCTAACCTCAGCATGGACTTTCTCCATCCAAATGGGTGGATGAGAACAATTTGTTATAAAAGCCTTGAAGGTGCCTGAAGCAGGAGCTGTAGAGCCGTTAGAGCATGGTCAGACGTTGAAGACACCACGGTCATCCACTACATCCCCGGCCATCACCAGTCATGTTGATTTTTGTCTCGCCACTGGACTTCGATGACTCTGAGAGAATGAGGCTGACGACTTTGTGCAACTCTGCCTCACTTAAATCGAATTCATGCGCTAGTCAAGACATTAAATCATAATATCATTGATCCTTTTTGAAAACATAGTAGATACTTAATAAATACTTGACAAATGAATATGTTTGGTTTTAGTAAGAAAAAAAAAAAATTGTACCGCTAACTGGACTGACTGCCTTTTCTGTAAAAGCCTTTAAGCCCCCAAACAGCTGCCATGGACAGGATCAGACTAGATGGTCCCTTAGGCCCCTTCCAGCTCTGAGATTTTGTGATGCTGAGTGTAGAATTTCAGGAAATGAACCAAAACTGAGCTAGGAACCTGTGCATTCTTTAAGATAAATACCAACAGATTCCAGATCCCAGGAAGAGCAGAAAGGCCAGCTCCTCCATTTTACAGATATGGACAATGAGGCCTGGAGAAGGGGCATGACTTCTCCAAGATCAAACAGCAGAGCTCCCACCAGCAAGCTATTCCGGCAGAGCTGGATTTTGAAATGAGGTGTCTTGATTCCAGGTCCCTTCCTCTTTCCACTGACCTCTTTTCTCAGTCTGAGAGCTGAGGCTTCTCATTACCATAATTGGCGCTCATTAATCCATCTACCAAGAAGACCATTCCTTCCAGGAGTTTACTGCCTAAAAGAAACACAGGGACACAGCCATGTCCTTTTTTCACTTCTTCATA